AAGTTCGTTTTGCGGAATGATCCTCATCTTCGTTACCTCCGGATCCTCTGATTCGCTGATATGTTTAGCCATTACACCAGTGGCTCGCATGCTAAGCTTTTTTGAAATTAGAACGTTTAATTCTTGCTGCAAAACTCCCATAAACCATACTCTGTAGATCCTAAGTGCGATCGTAAACGGCACCATTTTTCTCGTTTTGTCAGCATACACGAATAGAAGCAGCAATAAAAAGTATAACATGTTTATTCCGCTTATCAAACATTTTGCAGCAGCATTGATGGCTTGGGTTTCCGGCGTCCGAAAAATCTTGATGTTGAAGCCTACGAAGCATTCTGGAGTAAGTACTTGCCAGTGCTGACACGTCGACAACAGCGGTGGCAAACTATCGGCACCCCAAAAGGCCAGAAATGTAAACAAAGCTCATTTGTTTTGTTTTTCATATCTGCAACTGCATCCGGAGATGGGGGTACTAATAGATACATTCAGACTTTGTGGATTAACCAATAACTATATCATATTTTTAAAGATCAATCATTAAAACTTCAATACAGCGCTTAATATATATGTATGTATATATATATATATACATATATATATATACCGTCAAAATATATGCATATACCGTATATATATATACATATATACATATATATATATACATATATATACATATATATATGACAATATACATATATATACGTATATTGTCAAAATTATATACATATATATACCGTTCAAATTATATATATATACCATCAAAATTTTATACATATATATGCCGTCAAAGTTATTCGTGTACATATGAATATATATACGAATAACTTTTGCAGCTAAAGGTCAAGGCCTGCAAAGCCGGCAATGATATCAACCGGTTTAGACAAAAATTTCTTGAAATTTTGTGTGAAAGTTCTCATTCCATTTAAACGTCTCTTCTAACATTAGGACTAATAAGGTATTTACTCACTTTTTTACTTTGCAGTGAAGCGTTTCATCCGTAAAGGTGTTCCGGCAAAGTTACG